CTGTTATCTAGAACCACGCTCAAACAAATTCATGAATATTGTCTACTTCTCAAGTATTACAGCTATGATTGAAAAAAAAAGTGTTTTCCGATGTTTCCCACAGGTCCTGAATCTGTTGGTGTTTGATGATAACCTGCCAGAGCTTGCAGAGTCTTTTCAGGTTTCCCTGGTCTCTGCAGAATCCGGTGATGGGAAGCCAGGCTCCACCCCCACCAGTGGTGCAAGCATCGATCCCAACAACTCTGTTAATTCAATTACAGTCACAGCAAGTGACCATCCTTATGGTATTCACTCTGAAAATACATTATTGTTGTATTTTCAGTGATGGTTTTTAGATTTAGTGCTTTTCTTCTTCAGTTACACTTTACTCTTTGCCTTTCTTGTTTCACCATATCACCATCTTCTCTCCTTCTCAATACATTTTTCTGTTTTGCACTCTATCACACACACATTTATATATTTTTTGTAACTTCATTCAGGTCTGCTGCAGTTTCAGTCAAGTCCTCCACTGGTTGGTTTAATCTCCCCAGCAGTAGAACCCGCCTACATCACTGTTAATGAGGAGGCTGGGCAGATCCATCTTCCAGTGGCCAGGGCCCAAGGGCTTTTGGGAAGGATCATGGTGGGATACAGGACAACGCCCTTTACAGCATCCAGCCCAGAAGACTATGAGGTTTATGTCTCACCTGCAGTTTTCCTGTTTTCTAAAGATGGTAATTTACAGCAGGAATGAATAACATTTTAAATGCTTCCTTGTTTAGAAATCTGAGGGCGTCTTAGACTTTTTACCTGGGGAGAGGTTAAAGTTCATCAATGTGACCCTTGTGGACAATCCTGTCCCTGAGCTGGAAAAGATTTTTCGAGTGGAGCTCTACAATGTTGATGGAGGAGGTGAGATGTCTAAACCATAGCCTGAGCCTTTTGAGATGTGTTATGAATACTTTTATTTTTTTCAGATCTGAATTTGTAGAGTTATTTTGAAACTAAATAACCTTGCAATCTGTGCCACTGTTTTGTGTGTTTTTGTGTGCGGTGCCCCTGCTACTTCCTCTTATCTACCTGTGTGACCACCTTCCAACTCCTTCCTATTTGCCCTTTGATCTCTGTTCATCTGGTGTGATTCTGACCTGGTGTGACACCACTGTGATCCTCGTGTGTGAACTGTCAGTGGATCATTTCCTTCACGGTGAAGAGACTGGTAGTGGGGAGGGTGACTATAATTTCCTCCCACCATCCTATCACCACTATGGTAAGAATCCCCCTCCTTTAATCCCCAGACAGTTTCTTTTCTCCATTTTTTTTCACCCAGATATATTCATCTTTAGATTTGAGTGTTTCTTTACTTGTGTGCATTGTTTACATTCCTCTATCACCCCAGGGACTATGACATGGGAAAAGCAAATAACATTTCAGAGTCAAACATTGCATCATGAATTGTCAGTAGCTCCACTGTCTGATGCAAAGTCTGGATCAAAGTGTTTGTTTTAACATGTTTTTGTGCCAAACTCTTTATCTCTACATTTACTCTTAAAATAATGTGCTTTTTTAATTCAATCATTTTGGTCAAAATTCATTATTAATCAGTAAAAATCATTGTATTTTCCTTTCCTTTTCCTTTTTCTTAAGTAGAAACTCTCTCAAAATGAAAGAGTTTAACCAAAGAGTATTTATTAATGATAACAGATTTATTATTTTCTGTGCAGCTAGTTTGGGAGCTGCATCTCGCATCACAGTCACCATTGCCGCCTCTGATGATGCCCATGGTGTGTTTGACTTCAGTCCTCAAACTGTTTCTGTCAATGGGACTGAACCTGAGGATGGACGCAACACTATCATCCTGCAGGTCATTGAAATACACAATTTATAGATTATAACATGCTCACAGACAACTGTGGTGAAACATTGTTTTCATTTTCTCTCCTTTTCACAGGTGGATCGTTCCTTTGGGGCCCTTTCCAATGTCACAGTGTTCTGGGAAGTTGATGCCAGGTCTGAGGGTCAGCTCCTCAGCAGATTTGGGAACGTCACCTTTGGTGTTGGGCAGACGTCGAAGAATGTGATCATTGGTGTGGCCCAAGATGAGATCCCTGAGTTGGACAAGAGCTACACTGTGTCTCTGGTTAACGTTTCACCTGGTCGTCTGGGTGTCAGGACATCTGCTACTCTGACTGTGCTCGCCAGTGATGACCCTTATGGTGTTTTTGTCTTTGCCAATGCAACAAGGTCTATTCGAATTTCTGAAGCTAATGTCACTGTCTCCCTCATGATCCTGCGACAGAAAGGCCTGATGGGTCAGGTGTGTCCAAATTCAGAAACCATAGAAAAGAAATATTTTTTTCATTAAGTATCAGTTGTATCAGTTTGGATGATTTCTTTCAACGCAGGTACGGGTAACATATGGGACACTAAATGAGACCGATCCAGAACCTTACAGAACCCCTGGAGTGGGCCGAGCAACTCAGGGGAAGGATTTCGTTCCCCTCCTCAGTTCTGTCGTGTTCGTGGCCAATCAGACTGAGGCAAAAATCACCCTTGGAGTACTCGATGACGACGATCCAGAACGTGATGAGTCGGTGTTTGTGAAATTAATCGGTGTTCAGCTTGTCAAAGGAGAGCAGGAGAGGCCAAGTAAGCTACTAACTCCCTCACTAAGTGGACGTTTTTATTTGAATGAAATTATTTGAAATAAACAAAATGGGTAGTTGAGCAATGCTGCATTTAACATGTAAAATATCCTCTTTCAGTTGTAAACTCTCCCGCTCTGGGCTCCACAATGGACAGTGTAGCCCAGGTGATAGTGGGGGCCAGTGACGATGCTTTTGGAGTCCTTCAGCTGTCTGCTTCTGCTGTCAGCGTGGCCGAAGATTACGTTGGGCCTATAATAAATGTCACACGTGTCGGGGGGATTTTTGCTGATGTATCTGTCAAATTCAGAGCAGTGCCTGTGACCGCCACAGTTAGTAAGTCATAAAGACATGAAGACATAACAAAATAGAAAATCAAATTCTTCTCAGTGAGTGGTGCTTGAGCAGGCAAGTCCTGCTTTTGAGTTTGTGCTTGTGTGTAATCTTGTAGGCGAAGACTACAGCGTAGCATCGACTGACGTGGTCCTTTTAGAGGGGGAGTCCAGTAAATCTGTGCCCGTCTATGTTATTAACGATGTGGTGCCTGAGCTGGAGGAGACCTTTATTATTGAGCTGATCAACCAAACAACTGGAGGAGCTCTCCTGGGAGAGCTCACACGTGCCATCATCACCATACTGCCTTCTGATGACCCTTTTGGTGCCTTCGGTATGTGCCCACATCTTTGAGTTTATCTTCTTTTTGTTATTTCTTGTTGATGATCCATTTCTGTGTTCTGTAATTACCCAGTCTTTCAGGCTCTTCCAGTGACAGTAGAGGAGCCAGAATCTAACTCTGTTGAGGTCACACTCCCTGTTGTGCGCAAAGCCGGCACAATTGGCACAGTGGCAGTTCAGTGGAAGGCTACTGTTAATGGTAAACTAGCAGAAGGGGACGTTAGACCCACATCAGGAGAGGTTAAATTTGCTCCTGGAGAAACCATGAAGACACTTAAAGTAGAGATTTTAGCTGATGATATACCCGAAATAACTGAGGTGAGAAAATAAATTACCTAAAAAGATAATTTATATCTTTATAAATACTTTTAGAACTGCTGATTTTAAGGTCCAATGCTTACAATGCTGTGTTTTTTTTCTCCAGATTATTAAAGTAGAGCTAACTGGGGCCAGTAATGGAGGAAACTTAGGAGCCGATACATCCGTTAACATAATAGTGCCTGCCAATGACAACCCATATGGGACAGTTTACTTTGAACAGTCTGTTTATCAAGTTCAAGAGCCACTGGAGGGAGTTTACAAAGCTAATATTACTGTCCGTCGGAGGTACTTTGGATATATCTTCATTAGTTGTTTTTAGCATTGTTTTTTGAACATCTAGCTATTTTTTCCTGATCTTTCCTTCTCTATTTCTATTATTCCAGAGGTGGTTACTTTGGTCGATTGGAGATCTTGTACAGCACTTCTGAGATTGACAGTGTTGGTTTGGCTCAGGCTAACGGCCAGAACCTGTCGATGTACTACAATCCTCCAAAGCCAGGTGTTCCAGCCAGTACCCCACTTGTGAAATTTAACATCACAGGTCAGAAAGATCCTGTATCTTCCTGTGCTGCCGCATGTCTGAGAGAGCGTGCCTGCCAGGCCTTCAGCCTGTCTTCAGCTGTAACCCCACCATCCTGCACATGGGTGACCTCAGGAGTCGACAAGCTGACCTCTGAAACTCAAGTTTTCACTTATATTAAAAATGCCACTGCAGTTGCTGTGTTGTTTAGCTCCCAGGCTGTGGCTGGGAGTGATTACACCCCTGTGACCAATCAAAGTGCCTACATGGATGACGGATCAGGAGTTGCTAATGTCACAGTCTTAATTTTGGCGGACACATTTCCAGAAATGGATGAGAGTTTCTCTGTACAGATGTTAAAGGTAAAACCTATTCGTATGTGTACATAAGCTTTTCCCCTGTCATTTATGGCATTGCTTTACAAAACCGCTGCATAGTAAGCAAATGTTTCTCCTATGTTGTTCCAAGGTAGAGCTGGTAAATTTTACAACGTCACAGAAGAATCTGCCCTCGATCGGTCAGCCGGACAAAGCTGTCGTCACCATTGGAGTGAATGGGGATGCTTTTGGCATATTTTTGATTTACAGTCTCAGTCCAAATGCTACAAACAATGGACTGTATCTTGAGGTTCGAGAAGGACCTCTAGTTGTGGTGCCACTAGTCATAGAGAGGCGGGGAGGGAATTTGGGCAGAGTCACTGTAGAGTGGAGATTTGTTGGAGGGAAAGCCACCACGGGTGCTGACTTCAATGGGACTGGAGGAACTCTGGTCTTTGATGGTATTGGACCTGTTTCTGAGTCAACGCTTTTGCTGAAGCATCTAGAAATGGCCAGTAACTGTTACGGTTCTTGGAAAATGATCATGCTCCTTTTTTTTCCTTCTCTGTCCACAGGTGAACTTAAGAAGACAATAGAAATAGCAATCAATGATGATTCTGAACCAGAGGACAATGAAAACCTCATGATTGGTCTTGTTAACACAGCCGGAGGAAGTCGGATTCTGCCAAGCTCGGACACTGTGACCATAGTGATACTGGCTAACGACAATGTGGCAGGAATTGTGGGATTCCACTCAGCCTCACGTTCTGTCATTGCCAGGAAAGGTGGGTACTGGAGCAGCAGCATGTATACTGTTCATGTCAATGCACTGTAATTATGAAATAATTTATAAAACTGTTTTATGTTATTGATTGCAAACATTTCATGAACATAAGATTTTGTGTATTAACCATCCTGCTCAATTAGATGTCAGTGTCCTTTGTCCTTTGGTGCAAATTAATTTAGTTTCTACTTATATTCCACAAAGTTGTAATGTGATTCAACAAATTAAGTCTGCAGACTTTCAGAAGCATAGCTGAATCAAAAGTAAATTCTGAAACACAACCCTCTTGTCACTGGAGATGGGTTCTAATTATGAATGAATGTGAAAGTCAGGATAAGCACTTATGTTGATGGAAGGCTGCTGTGTGACAGGTGGGCCCTGCAGTTACCATTATCATAAATTATATATGCATGAGTTATAGTCTCTATACAGTTAGAAATCTTGAATTACATCTACAGGCATCAGCAGCGAGGGAAATTAATGTATAAAGAAAATTAAGAAAGGAAATATTCACTCAAATCAGCATTTGATAAAACAGTCATTCTTAAAAATGCTTTGATTTTCCATATGTTTGAATTATGTGCTTTTGTATTGGAATTACAGGTGAGAAACTGTCATTATTGGTGCTGAGAACAGCTCCAAGTCGGGGTAACGTCACTGTGGACTGGACAGTACAAGGACATCTTGTACAACGAACCTTCTCTCTAACGTCAGGGACTATTTTCTTCACTGAGGTAAATTAAACAGTATTTATTTGTGTTATTTTAAAATTATCAGTGCTCAGTATGTAAAGTGTCAGTTTAGTTTTTTTTTTCCAAAATAGCAAGATTGCTACAAGGGTAATTGAAGATGACAAAACACTTAGCATTAAATGCTCATCTGTTTTTGCTTTTCCAGCAGGTCTAATATGTTTTTTTGGTGTTTCTCACAGGGACAGCAAAATAAAACTATAGTCCTACAAGTTCTGGACGATGCCACACCAGAGAACAAAGATGAATACAGAGTTTTCCTGTCAAATATACAAACATTTGGTGACTTATGCATATAATTGTTTAGCAGTACTTATAAAGGAAAATGGTAAAATCCCTTTAATCACAACTGATTAAAAATGTGTCTGGCTTCCTTGCAGGTGTTGTAGAAACAGGCCGCGCTACCCTGGAAAGTAGTGTGGCAGTGGTTACTTTCGACACAAGTGGTCAGCCCTACAGCCTGCTGTCTATCGCCCCGTCATCCCTTAGGGTGACTACTGAGGAGCGAGACCACGTCATAAACATCTACATCAACAGGGAGTTTGGGGCCTCAGGTTTGTTTGTACCTTTTTTCATACATGAATATTATTACATTGTTTTCAATTTTGTGACATTATGCTCAAACATTTGGATGTAGGGGTTGTGAATATTACCTATGAGGTTAAAAGAGGTTCCTTACAAAACCTATCTGAGGTGGAAGGGGCTTTAGCTGACCCAGGAAAAGACTTCATCGCTGGTACTGGTTCTGTGATTCTTCAAGATGGACAGACCTCAGTTGGCATTCCTGTCACCATTCTGGAGGTAAAAAAAAACTAGTGTCTTTCATGTTCTTTTTTATGTTTAAAATCTCATAATTGTTTTACACACTGATGGGACTTGATTTATTTTTTATGGTAGTTCATTCATTCCTGCTGCCTTCTGACTGCTTCCAAGAAAGGCTGTGTCATTATGGCTAAATAGTGTTAACTTGTTAGTACAAAAAAACAAAGGCTGATTTATAGCTAGAAGTCTTTTTTGTGAGTTTGCAGTGTGAATGACTGCAAAAATTTGCTTGAGAAGAGAAACTGAAACTGAGTTGTTAAAAGAAGCTAAAAGCTAAAACTTGTGACATATTCCACAAGAACCAAGAAACATGTTCATTTTGACAAACTGTCTTGAACAAGTTTTGCCCAGTACAAGCTATACTTCACAAGAAACTTGAGAGACGTGATATAAAGACGTTTATGCTTCCTCACTGCCTCAGCATGCTGCTCCTCAAAACTATTCATGGTACAAATTCCTGCACCAGAAAAAGAAAAACAGGAGTTGTAAACATTTTTGCTTTAAATCCACACGCCCACTTTAGATTTCTGACCAATCTCACAGTAGTTCTGACACCACTAAGAAAAAAGTTTTGCACAACTTGTGTGACGAGGACAAGTTAAAGAACCAAACCCAAAACAAGGTCTGTGTTGGAAGAGGGAACATTGTTTTCTCGCTTCTTGTGAGATATGTAGTAGCCATAAAAGGAGCAAAAGCAATACCAAAAACCTAAAAGTAGCAAAAGATAATCTACTGGCTAAAGTAGCCAAATGCTAGCTGTATATGAATGCCTTGGCTCAAATAGCACAACATATCAGAAGTAGTTAAATCATTAAAAAAAAGGAGGAGAACAATATTATGATTGCTGAATCAGCATTTACATAATAAAGTAAATAGCTTACATTATACAGTTGTTTTGCAAGCTTAGCCACATATTAACTGACTTATTTAAATTATGTATTTAAACTTTTTATTTCCAGGATGACATTCCCGAGTTACAGGAGTTTTTCTTGGTCAACATAACATCTGCAGTACTCATCACAACCCTCACTACTGTTCCCCAACTCGGTATGAATAGCTTTAAGATGTATTTATTGAACATTTAATGATGAGTCTCATTCATATTTCTTCTATGTCTTTGTGGCACTGTTCTTGTTTTAAGTACCATGTTTTGAAATGTATTTTCCCCTTTCCTTTCTGAAATTTTTCACTTTCCTCTTTTGATAAGCAGAGGTTGTGTATTGCACTTTGCCAGGTAAAAAAAAAAAGAGCTTAAAATGATCTTTATTGCATAATATTCCACTACAGTACAAAATGTTGTAACACTACAAAACAAGCTTGTTGTTGCATTTCTCCTCCTAGTGTAAAATCTAAACCACAGTCCAGTTTATGAATGAGTAACTGTAGAAAGTGATGAGTTGACAAAGTGCTTCAAAGCAGAGCAGAGCTTCCCAGAATACTATCAGCCCACTGCCTAGAGACACTGCGTAAACACACAGCCATTCTTTCTGGCAGCACTCATTATGTGGCTTGGACGGTGGGATTGGTGCTATATGATTGAGGAAGGCTGGGGATTTGGTGGCAACGAGAAGCCCTGTGTGGTGAGGACACAGAAAGCCAAACAAAACCCGTGACTGCCTCCCAGCGTCTCCGCCACAGAGTGTATGGGAGAACACTATTCAGGAGGTCATAAATCAGTTTGCCCAAACGTTTGGCTCCCAAGACTCTTACAGTAGATGCCTCCTAGTTGTCATCCTCCACTCAAATGTGCTATGGCAGTAGTTAGCTCCTCTGCAGCAGCTTTCCCCTGTCACATCTTTGCTTTTGCCCTTTAGTTACAATTCTTGGAAGCTGCTGATTCTTGCTGCAATTAAAGACAACTAAAAACCTAAAAGTCATCATGTGGTTCTTTCCTCAGACACCCAGGGTTTGGTTGCAGAAGTCAGTATTGCTGCTAATGATGGAATCAGAGGGGTCATTGAATGGACAAACACCATGTAAGAAAAAATATATATTTTACCCTTCTATGATGATTTCCTCAAGATCTTTTTAAGATGTTTTATTTTGTATGTGCTCTGGTTTGCAGGTTTGATGTGAATGAAACAATAGGATCATTGACTCTTGTGGCCTACAGGAGCAAGGGGACACACGGGAATGTCTCTCTCCTGTTTTATGCACAGAACCTGGAAGCTCAGCAGGGACTTGACTACACCATCAATAATACGGTTCGCCCCAATATAACACTCAAGGGATTTACACAAAAACCAAAAATCTGGACATGGGTTTGAAGTTGAATCAATGGGCCTCATGCAAGAACATGTTCGTGTTCTTATCCTAAATTTCTCTTACTTTTGTTCGTAAGAAGGGTTTGTACGGACATACCACGTCAGATTCAACAAACTCTTCTATCTTCAGGAAAAGTGTGTAAATGAGCTGCGTAAATTTCACCTGTTCGTGTCCAGCTGCTCATGCACGCGAGAGGAGATTAGCCTAATTACCACCCCAAAAACACCTTATAAGGCTACGTTTCCTGCCTCAGATACAAGGAAGTGTTCATTCATGAAAAATGACAGTGATAATTAAAAAGAAAAACTTAATGAGTTCAGAGATTGAAGTCCGTCTGTCAGAGATCAAGAAAAGAAAATCTGTCATTTTTAGCAGGTCAGCTGTGGRATAAAAAGAGCTGCTAAAAGTATAAACAACTGTGTTAAATCATTTTCATTTATTCAGAAGCCACACCATACCCTCCACCCCCCACCCCCCGCGCGCGGTCTCAAGTGGTCTCTGTTGCGGTTCTGAAATAAGCATTTTAAAATATTTTCAAAATACATCTGGCACTTTGGAGAAAATCCAGGAGTCTCTGGAGGGATTATGTATCCCCTCTGGCCTGGGAACGTCTCGGAGTCCCCCAGGATGAGCTGGAAAGTGTCGCTGGGGAGAGGGAAGTCTGGGTCTCTCTGCTGCTGTCCCGCGATCCGATCCCGGATAAGCCGGCCGGACGGACAATTTATATTGTTAGTCTAAATTATTACATTTAAAATTATAACTCTAATTYAAGCAGAATAGCCTATTGTCAACATAATTATGGAGTGTAATTTATTTTCAACTCAAAATATCTTCAAACTAACGAAATATAAAGTTATTAGGGAGGATAACCCGCCTGGATAACAGCAGACTGACTGCTCGTAAAATATACGACAGGTCTGGACCACTCATGGATTTTGTTCATATCTGAAAAAAATCTTGGAATACAAAAACATTGATGAATGCCATAAAATCTCCTAAATCACTCGTACGCACAACTTAAGAACAAATCTGTGAGTACGAACAGTTCTTGCATGAGGCCCAATGTTTGTGGCGAGAGGCTTTTAGGATTTAAAGAAAGCCCAATGAATCCTGATGTTAAATCTGTAGAAGTTTTCACAAAGTATAGTGTTTCATTTTTGTTGTTTTAATAAAAATATCACTGTCCAACTAGATGCTCCACTTTGTTGATGGCGAAAGGTATAAGTTTGTGGAAGTGCAGATAATTGATGACACCACTCCAGAGGGACCTGAAAGATTCCAGCTCATCCTTTCCCAGCCGTCCCCTGGCCTGGAGCTGGGCACCAACACCACAGGTAGAACAATGGAATTCAATGAAATTTAACAGAAACAGATCATAATATCTGACTATATGTCTATCTATATGAGAGAATACAAATGGAAACTAAAACAAACTTAACAATAAAGTACAAAAACACAGATTGGTCAGGATCTGAAATGATGATGGGGAACTGAACTGAAATACCACAACACAAGGACAGATCAAGTAAAAACAAAAATCTCAAGATGCACAAAACAAAACATAAATACCAAAAGTTGCTAAGCCTGATCTATAACAAAATAATAAATAAATAAACGAACAACTAAAATCCACAGATTATGATACAGTCAGGTTTTAGATGTTCTACAACCCCTGGCAAAAAGTATGGAATCACCAGTCTTGGATGAGCACTCATTCAGACATTTCATCAAGTCCATGCCTCAGAGACTGCAAGCCGTTATAAAAGCCAAAGGTGGTGCAACTAAATACTAGTAATGCATTTTGAATGGTCTTTTGTTTATCTGTTTTTCATGATTCCACTTTTTTTCCTCAGAATTGAGTGATTCCATATTTTTTTCCCTGTGCTTGGTCAATAAAAGTAACATTCACTGACTTCCACAATGTTTTCTCTTCATTTCTTTAAGTGTTCCTGAAAGCCAACAAGTTGCACTTTGGAATGACCTTATTATTGTATCATGTTTTTGATCTGAGTTTGTTTTACAGAATGAAATGTTTGAATGAGTGCTCATCCAAGACTGGTGATTCCATACTTTTTGCCAGGGGTTGTATGAACATTTTTTGTGTTCTGTTGTAGATATACCTCTAATGATTACTTTCTGAAACTGTTTCTTTCTGTTCATGGTAATGGGAAACAATAATAAGTTTTAAAACTTTATTGTGCTAAAAGAATAGTAAATTTTTAAAATAAAAACAATATTATAATCGTTTGTTTTGGCACCTGCTACTTTGTACACAATAATATTTCATTATTTTTATGTAGCCACTGTGAACATCCTGGCCAGTGACGACGGACACGGAGTCCTTTCCTTCAACACCAGCGAACGTTTTCTGCTGAGAGAGCCGACCTCGGTGTCACAGCTGAGTGACAGCGAGGCCAAACTTTTTGTGATGCGGAGCCCAGAGGAAGGCACGTTTGGCACCGTGTCCGTTCAGTTTACCGTCACGGACGCCAACGGCAGCCTCGCGGAGGGGGATGTGATACCAACACACGGGGTTGTGGTTCTGGAAGATGGGGTCCGATTTAAGGTTGGTAAAAGCAGCACATAAATATGTTGTTATGGATCATAAAACCGCGAGCGCATAAATGTTCTAAAATGATTCCGTGTTAAGTGAATTTTTATTATTATGTGTTTTCTAAAATAATAATCCTGTTTGTTTCAGATGCTGCAGATCAAGGCAGTACTCGATGCTGAACCAGAGGGGAATGAAACCTTCTCCGTGGTTCTGTCCAACCCAACCGGAGGAGCACGACTCGGTGACCGGCTTCAAACATTCATCACCATCCTGGCAAACCTGGCTCCTTCGGGTTTATTCCGAATCGGACCTACTCTCAACAGGTCTCGCAGCAGCTGAATACAATGAATCAGAAACTTTAAGTTGTCTCTTTGCATTGTGTAATGCTGCAATCCTAATGCAAACATGACCTTACAAAGTTGTATTTATTATGTTTCCATGCAGAACCAGTACAGATGTGGTGATCAGTGAAGGCAGCAGGGCAGTCTTCCTCACTGTATCACGCAGTAATGGTTTGGAGTCAGCTGTCAGTGTGGAATGGGAGATGCTGTCTGGTACAGCTGTTGCCTCTGGTGAGAAATATAAACATCAAGTAAACCTAACCTATTAAATTAGCCTCTTATTGCCTGCTAAAAATTTAATAATTGCATAATTGCAGTATTGTATAAAGTAAGGGACTTTTGTTTGTGTTGTATAATGCAATAATTTTTCCACGTTTGATTTACTGTGTTGAGGTCTGAGGGAAAGCATGTAAAACAATTACAAATCCCATTTTTATTTTACAGAAAGAGCTATAAGAATTTTCACCAGAAAACATTACAGTCACCCATCAAATATATTATTTTGTCATTTGAAATTATTGAAATTTTATGAGTTGGTTGATCATAATATTTTGCAGGTTATGTATAAAGCTCATAAAAATGTATTACCTCTAAATATTGAATTAAATTTTGTTAAGAGAGTAAGTAATTAAAAGGGTATAGAGATGTTTGTAATGCCCAAAATCCAAACAAAATTGAAGGACCGATGTACTTCGGTCCAAGGAATAAGACTGTGGAACAATCTGGAAAGTGATTATAAAAATGCTGGCTCAATAACTTTAACTTTATTTAAGAGAACGATGAAAGTTAGATTGTTGAGGAGATTTGAATTTGTATAATGTGCATTCAGAAGAACTGTTGTTCGAGAAGGAGTTGAAGTTTTTGTTATGTTTTGTTGTTTGAAGACTATTATTGTTTCAGTTTGTTTATTAAAAAAGGGGCAGATATCAATAAGAATTTTTTTTCTTCTTTCTGCTACCTTTCATTTTATTTGTGTTGTATTATTGTTTGTTGTATTTATGGCATTTTTTAAAAATGAAATGAATAAATTTATTTTAAAAAAATCTGTTCTTTCAATCAGCAATCTTGTTACAATTATTTATTTTGTTTTTATTTTTTATTTTTTCTAGCGGGTCTCCTCTCAGTTTTAGGTTTGTCCCAAAGCTTTGAGAACAAACCCACATCTGCTTGGTGCTCTGTTCCTGGAGATCCTTCCTTCCTGGCTATGAGGTTGGATTTAAAGCCTGTAGTTGGATCCTCCTACACTGTGGCAATTCTGTATCGGTGGCAAGGTGCTTTTGTGCCAATACAGGTAATAAAATTATACCTCACCCAGCTCGTGAAACTTTTATATTTAAAAATAAAATGCATGTGAAACAGGAATTTCAGTGATTTATTTATTTTCATTCTTAAAGTCTGTGAGGGTTCAGGACCCGGCATCATGCGTGGGGTTCACAGTGAACGGTTCCTCCTATGTTGGCATCACTCACGGGGGTCCTCCTTTCTTTCCTGCCGCCAATCTCAGCATCTTCAAACTACAGAAGGACCTCAACATCACACTGGTAAGTGTAAACCCGTGACATGGTGTTACTACAGTTACACCACTGTGAAACTGACTTTACAATATTATCATGCTTACAGGAACAAACTTTAGGTGTTGAAGCCCTGAATGTGAAACACTTCTCCTCTGAAGGCAAAGATTATCTTATAGCATCCAGCCAGGTGACACAAATCTTTAAACGTTTTTAGACATGTTTAAGGCAAATCACAACTCAAATTATGCTTGAAAAAATATTTATTTATTTTTTTTTTATTTTCTAGATTTGGAGAATTTGGACAGGCAGCTCCCTTACCCTCCACCAGACCCTGGACTTTAAACAAGGCGTCGTCAGTTTGGCTCCGTTCACTCACGCAGGTGTGCCCCACCTGTTGGTGTGCGTTGACAACCAAACTTTAGGCTGCCGGGTGCTCCAGTGGACCAGTGGAAGATTTCAGAACCCACAGACTCTTCCAGTCGCAGGCAGAACCATTCAGGTGGACGTGATCAACACAAGAACAGATGATGCTCTGCTGCTGATTGCTGTTGAAGGTGATCAGAGTGGCTTTACTACATGGAACAAAGCTGGAAATGGTGGAACATCTTCGTGTAGATGTGACAGAAATATTGTCTGTTAGCTAAATATCTAATGAATCCCCAAAAATAAACTAAATGCTTTTATCTTGCTTCTTGTTAACAAAGACATTGGTTGTGTTTTGACATTCATGACGTTTTACTTCCATATTGTGTTTACAATGTGCTTTTTCATGGATTTTGCTGTAGATAGATGTTGGTTTGGGTTTTATAAACACATTGTTGCTTCAAACCAAAGCAGTTTATGTCTTGGCTTCTGTTGTCAGTCTAAGTTTGCAAAGTTACAGTATAGACCTTCTTATATACTGGGTTTGTATACCACTGTATATTCTGAAGAGACACAAATGTTCTGAGTTTGCAAAATTGGTGAGTTTTTTAGGTCTGGAGCTGATGTGGGTTTATGTGTGTATCGGAGCGGAGCCACAGAGGGATTCAAAAGTTGCAATTTGTCAGTCTTGGGTGTGCCTTTTAGATGAGTTGTTACATAAACATGCTGTTCTAATGTGGAAGAACTTCAGTCTGTGTTTGCTTTTTTTCTACAGGTTTCCCTCCATCCTGTAAGGTGTTACAGTGGGGGTCTGGAGGCCCTTCAGCTCTGTCCAATCAGTCCATTCCACACCCGGGCCTCACCTCTATTCATGCTTTCGCTTCTTCTTCTGGGACCTGTAAGCACAGATATAAATAAAAAAATGTTTAAATGTGTTTCTCAGACATATATTTAAATACTATACTATAATAAAGTATCTATGTCACCTTTCGTTGTTATTAAAATGCTGTTTTTATGTTTAAATAGAAAATAAACGTATCTTCTCATCACTTCCTCTTCTAAACGCCTTGAAATTGGCCTCTGTCTCTTTAAGAACCACCTTCCGCTTCTGTCCCGCCCATTTCAGTGCGGGGAGGGGCGGGGGTGGGGGTTCGCGCTATAATGCAGTTTACTTGGCATCTGAAAATACATTCCCTCAAAGGTATTTTGAATCTGAAAAGAGCTTCATTGGGTGAGAAATAGTGTTGAGAGCAGCAGACAGTTAAGTTTCACTTTCACTTTGCTCTGTTACTGCCGAAAGCCTGCAGGAGTCATGGGCGGGGTGTGTGGGGTGGGGAGTTGTACTCTGTGATGAGGAAACTTGGCTTAAAGACACGTCCTAGGGGCGTTTCTGGTACCAAAAGGCGTTTCTGGTCCCCACCTTTCGTTTTGCTCCTCAGCATGGCTGCCTAAAAACGCTGCAGGATTTCTCAAACATGCATGGATGAGTCAGGGCAAGGCTTTGGGCATGTCTTTATGAGAGTGTAACATTATAACATGATATAAAACTCAAAAAAGTTGATTTTACATGATATTGCCCCTTTAACAAGATCATTTGAAGTACTTGGATATTAAACATGTTTATTCTTTGGGCTCTTTATTGTAGAACATTTATGTGAATCAAATTATACCTTCCAATTCAGTCACATTAATTAATTTTATTTTTTTTTCTCACTGACAACATGAATTAGTCAGTGTTGTAAAATAATCTGTCACGAAGGTGTCATTCAGATTTTTTTTAACCAATTCTCAAGCTTTTATTCTAATTCATCTTTATTTTTATATTTTACAGCTTATGTCATGCTAGCTGGAGGAAATAGTTCATCGTTGTACCTTTGGAGGTCTGACATCAAACTGTTCACCATGATCCTGAAGCCGCCTCGAGCCGTTAGCTTCACCTCGCTCATGGTCCCATCGCTCAGTGCCACAAAGAGCCTTCTGGCCTCTGCTGAAGAGAATAGCTCCAACATTTATGAATTCACTTCTGTTTCAAATCAGTCTGATTTTATACCCAGGTATCCAGTGCACTGAATGAGTTAATGAGTTTTAGCTTAGACAACATATCCTTCTCAAAATAAGGTAAGGCAAAGTAACTAATGTATACATTTTTATTTTCTCATTTTCAGTTTTGGGGAGTTGCACTTTGCACCGGGTGTCAGTGAGCTGGAGTTAGCAGTGAATGTCATCGATGATGATATCCCCGAAGTGGAAGAGTACTTCCAGGTCAGACTGAAGAACCCAAAAGGTGGGGCAGAGATTGGATTTGGTGGTCAGGTTATGGTTGTTATCCCAACTAACGATGACGCCCATGGAGTTATCGGCTTTGCTCAGGTGAGTTTAATGATGTGTGTGTGAAATACACCCAAAGTGATCCTTTTTCTTTTTATCCATCATGGATAATTTATCATTGTGTCTTATGCTAATCTCAGCTGTAAATATTGTTGCAGAATTCTCTGTACTTGGAGGTGGAGGAGATGGAACAAAACAATCAAATTTCTCTGAGCGTGGAGAGAAAAAGGGGGGCTTTTGGCAGACTGACTGTTCACTGGGCTGCTAATGGAAACTTGGCAGACATTTACCCCACCTCAGGAGTGGTGAGTAACTTCTCACTTCATATCAAACTAAACACAAAAAATATGTTTAAATAACATGTCTAAAGTCCTTTTTTAAAATAAAAATCACATATGTGAACTCAATGTTGCAGGTGACATTTTCTGAGGGGCAAACCGTAGCCATCATCTCTTTAGCTGTGATCGCTGATGGTTTACCAGAGCTAAGTGAGAATGTCACAATCGCCCTCCTGGGCGTCAACACTTTGGGTCTTCAAGACCAGCAACAAGCTGCCGTCATTGACAAGCAGCGAGCTCAGGCTCTGCTTACCATCTTACCAAATGGTTCCCCCTGTGGCGTAATTGGCTGGCATCTGGACTCCCAGTTCATCCTGACACAGGAACCACAAAGTAAGAATCTTTGAATCTTTGAAAATATTTCAAGTTAAATTCACTGTTCTTTTCACCTTTCCATTGATAGTCTTTGTAAGACTACATCCATGTGAAAAAAAATGAGGACACCCTAAATTTAATATAAATTTTAACTACTTTATTAGTACTATAATGGTTTAGACAACTTATGCTGACTTAAGAACACTTTGCTATTAATAAATTACTCGTATAGTTTTAAAAATTTGATCTAATTTTTAGTATTACAAAATGCATATGTCCAAAAGAGACTTCCATTAGATTGCTTTATTCGATCTTCACTGAGGACATCTTTAGTTTTGGACAAAATTTTCACAAGTTGGCATGAATTGTCAAATCTAACCTAAAGAAAAGACTTTTCAAAACTTTCTGTAAAAAGTGTTTTAATAATAAATTTGGACACCCCAACTTTTCCTCAAACTTGTAACATTTTAATTGTCTGTTAAGAGATTTTAAAAGACCTCAATCAATTTGAAATCAGCCATTTCACTCTGGAAATTAGTCTTCAAGTGGAAGATGATCAAAACAACTACCGACATGCCTATCTTTAATTTACATATATTTAATATTTTACTTACCAAGTGTTTTTAGCTTTTTTAATGGCACAAAAACAACAATTATTTAGTTTTGCCTAATCTTATTTCTCCTAACCAACAGGAACTCCGGTAAATGTGACACTTTCTATAATAAGGGAGCAAGGCTCCACAGGTGAGGTGCTGATTCATTATCAAACCAAGCCGGCTCTGTACCAGCCCCCATCCAATCAAGCCTCCTCTGGACTGGACTATGTATCCAAAGATGACACCATTATCATGATTAATGGTGCTACTGTGGCCCTCGTCACTGTCACCATCCTACCAGTAAGTATGAGTCATGCGTTCATAAGTTTACAACCACCTGTGTGCTTTTGAGCACAGATTTTTTTTTATTATTTTTTTTTTTAAAGGATGACATCCCAGAGCTTGCAGAGAGTTTTCTGGTAAACATCACTGGAGTGGAGCTAGTTAGAGGCTCTGTTGGAGCTGGGCAGCCGAGCTTGAAGAGGCCTGGTATGGAGGTGGCAGAGATCACCATCCAGGAGAATGATGATCCACGAGGAGTTCTGCAGTTTAACATTTCTGAAGTGAGAATGCCTGTAAACAGAATAAAGTCTGGGAAGAAATTAGTGAAGCTCGTTTTAAGTTGCTGAATAAAGAGTGACAATCAAGACTCTTAGTGATGAAATAATATTTGATAAAGTAATCCAACTTGGTAAATATGTTTTCTAGGATATTCCTGGTGGTGTGGTGGCCTACGAGATACCACCACCAGATAACATCCTTCATCTGTCAGTGGTGCGACTTGCTGGTACAACTGGGAGACTGGTCGTCTACTGGGAGGCTGAGCCAATCACTGCTGATCTCAGCGACTTCAGCCCCTCATCAGGAAACATCACCTTTCAAGATGGACAGGTAAAGTAGTGTTCATTGTTTTATTCTAAGATGGAAATGTCATAAAGTCAAGTTGAATAGAGATTTGTGGTTTTACATTGTGTTTTTTTCTTTTTTCTTCTTAGAAAGAAGCCACTATAGCCATCACCATTTTGGACGATGCACAAGTGGAGAGCTCAGAAACCTTCAGAGTGAATTTGCTGCGTGTGATTGGCGGTGCTCGTCTCGGACCGGTGACCTTTATTTCTGTCACTGTTCCACTGAATGACTCACCTCTGGGACGATTTGGATTTCAGAAACTGGAGGTGAATCTGAAGTGCTTTTATTTTTCTTTTCTTTTTTTGTAAATTCAGCAATTCAATGTTTGTTTGTAATTGTTTTTTTTTACATTTTTCATTTTACATAAAAGGTTGTTATAAGTGAGCCAGAGTTTCAGAATGACTCTGCTGCCGTTGCGACACTGGCTGTGCTGCGCAGTGCAGGAGGCGCCGGGGCCGTGAGGCTGCTGTGGAAAATTGAAGACCAGGCTGAACGTGACCTTTCACCTCTTAATGGAACTCTTGTCTTCACTGAGGTAAAGTAAAAAAAAAATAAAACATGACAACTGTTCTCCCAGGCAATGTGCTTCTTTTAAAATAATCTCATCCCGCGTGTCATATTTTTTTGTTTTCTTTCCATTTTTGTCACAGACTGAGACTGTTAAGTCTTTTGTAGTCAGAGCCCTCGCCGATGACGTGCTGGAAGGAGACGAGCATTTCATTCTACGCCTGCTTCCTGCTGACAGTGGTGCTGTCATTGACCCCTTACACGGTTTGTGATTATAAAATAATGTTAGTCTGTGTGTGAGGGCAGTGTTTTCATAATAAAACTGTGATTCATTTATCCTATTCTGGCCCTAATGTCTTCATGTAGGTGTGGTCACCATCACCATCAGGGCAGACAAGGCAGCTCTGGGGATTATTGGAGTAGCAGAGTCATCGAGGAACATCATTATTGGGGAACCTCAGGGAGCCTATAAAGGCATTTCCACAGTTAGGTGGGATAAATTGTGTTTTCTCACTAACTTAGAACACCAAACAAGAACTTGAGGAATTCTGATCTTCTGAAGTGGGATTCTGAGATAATGGAAAAGCTCTTTAAACAACCTAGTTTGGATAAAAAGAGTTTTTTTTTAATTCTGAGATGAGTGACAGACTAATGGCTGTCTTAGCAGGGCCAAAACTAAAGTAGATCCACAATGAATCATGGCGGTTTATGCAAATCTTGACTCTGCAATCATATTTTGTATTACAAAGGTATTTTTGGAGATATCGTTATATTCCTGTTAGAGACGTTACAGTTAGCAGCTGCTGCCACTATTAGCACCAGTAAATAATCATACAATCTTATGCTAGAAACTGCAATGCTTTTCTTTAATGAGCTCTTGCATAAACCTTTATGAAAGTTTTAAAGGAGACCAATTATGGCTCCTAGAAATTTTTATGGTATGTCTGTGGGCTATCCAGACCATGTTCATTCAATTTAATGCACAAAATAATTCTCAGATAATAAAATTTCCCATTTTCTAGTTCTGCCTGCTCTGACTTCCATTCAGAAGAGCTGTTTATGTTAATGAGCTCTGTTGGTAACGCCCTCCAAAAATCTGTTGACATTAACTCCGCCCTCCAAAGCCAGCGTTTACGTTAGCATGGCTAATAATAGCAGAAGCTCCGTTGTACAACCATATGAGAGACCCAGAGGCAGAGTCGTGGTCGCAGCTTCTTTCTTTTTTTCCCTCTCCTCTGCTCTGAGCTCACTCTGCATGCTGTTACCAGAGCAGGGAGCAGCAGTCAAAATACCTCAGAAACTCAAACAAATAGGCTTTAACAAGGCTTTAATAAGCTAAACAATAGAGGTACATGAAAAAATGTGTTCATAACGAACGAAAAAAATAAAAAATAAAACAGTGCATGCCGGTCTCAAACCCTGGTCTCCCACTCTCTGCTCCAACACTGTACCCATTGCCCTATTGGAGGCCTGTTGTGAAATGAGCTGCACATTACACAACAAGAACCGTGACGGCTCTTTATACTGAGGAGGAGGAGTCTCACCCGGGGGTTGCTAGGTAAGGGGCTGAACGCAGGTTCCGGTGGGTTGTCGTACGGCTTGTGACATCACAAAATAACGGAAGTATAAAACTTGTCATTAATATATTGTACATAAAAAATACATTTACTTACAGTAAATATGCCCCTGGGTGCATTTTTTTGGTCCTAGGACTGTTTTTTTTTAACAAGTACATACCCAAAGTTGAGTATGAAAAGCTTTAAAAAGTGAATTTTGCATAATAGGTCCCCTTTAAAAGTTGGAGTTGTTCTAAGACAACCACAATGCACTTTATTTATGATTATCTTCAAACTAGCTGTTAACTTGTGAATCTGGTCAAAATAAGGCCAATAAAATATCTAATCTACAACAGGTAAGATATTCATTTCTCATAACCTTTCCAGACAATTCCACTCTAAAATGTCAAAACTACTGATTTAAAATCCAATGTTTACTCCTTGCAAAGTAAAACTGTGCACCCATGTGCTTTCCTGTAGTCTTGTGCGAGGTCCCGGCGTTTTTGGAGAGGTGCAAGTTTTTTGGAACATCACTCCTGCCCGAGCGTCTGAGTTTGAAACCATTTCTGGCGTGGTGACCATGAGAGATGGACAGTCTGTGGCCAACATTACTCTGAAGGTATGTAATGACACACTTTCATAGCAAAAGGCTTTATGGCTGCAGCCTTCTGAGTCCTTCCTTTAAACTGATGTCTTTATGATGGCAGGTGATTGACGATGACGTCCCTGAAGAGCGCAGCGAGTACCAGCTCTCACTCACCTCAGCTACAGTGGGACTGGAGATAAGTCCCACAGCCAAGCATGCCAGGATCACTATGGCAGCTAGTGACTGCCCCTATGGCCTTTTCTCCTTCACCCAGCTTGAGCTCAGGGCAAAAGAGGAAGAGGGACTGGTGAGGTCATAAACATGGGACTCATAAAAAATGAAGTTAGGCGGTGATGCAGTTCAAACCTAACCCAGAATGATATACTTGAATTTTTTCCCACAGGTCAATGTGACAGTGAATCGCTCCCTTGGCAGTTTGGGCAGCGTGTGGGTGAGATATGACACCTCAGGAAGCACAGCAGTCAGCGGCCTGGACTTTGCTCCAGCTTCAGGACGACTGCTATTCACACCAGGCCAAACCTCAGGAGAAATCACGCTGCGTGTTCTGGATGACAGTCTTCCAGAAGGGCCTGAAATGTTTTTTGTCAACATCAATAATGTAGAGCTGTTTAATTTCAGGTTACTGACTACACTGGACTGAATGTATAATAGGAGTTTGCTCCTAAAGCCATAGCGCATTTCTCTTATGTTGCATCTCCCTCTTGTGGACAGTGTTGTGGACTACACAGTGAGAGAGTCAGGGCTGCAGTTGGACCAGCCTCCAGCTATAGGCAACATCTCCACTCTTGTTGTGATCATACAGCAGAATGATAACGTTGAAGGAGTCCTGGAGTTCAGGCAGGATTACCTTAACATCACAGGTAAAACTAAAAGGAAGTCCTAACAGATTTTATTTATTGTATGCAATCAAAAATAACAATAAATGTTTCTTCCCTTAGCAAAAAGTAGTATACTTGAAGTTCATTTTAATAAGTATACTTGAGTATAGGTTTAAGTATATCAAGTATTCTTGGCACCATGTACGTGCAGTGTACTAGAAAGTATACTAATTTTATACTTGTTCATACTAAATTGGGATGTTTTTTTTTGTTTACAAAAGTATACTTTAAGTATACTGTTACAATGCATTTTTAAGTTAATAAACTTGCCAAAAAGAAGTAAATTTTAAGTACATGTCATTAAGTATACTAAAGTATGTAAAAGTGTATTTTCTTAAGTGTTTTTTATTTACCATATATATTGATATACTAGCAATTTACCATCAAGTATACTTCTAGGATTAAATTGGCCCACAGTAAGTTTATGAAGGTAAACTCAGACATGTACTGAATGTAATCTTCTAAGTGTACTTTTAGTTTATTCTTGAAATATACTACAAATAAACCAGTCTGTGTGAAAATGTGCTTTCAGTGTACTACTAAAGTTTATCTTGGCCAAAAGTTTAAACATTAATATGAACTAAGTGTACTTAATCTTTTAGTATACTTTTAGTACAAGCAAAGTATAGTGTAAGATAAAGTTGGTTAAGTATATTTGAGATAAGTGCATAGAAAGTAAACGGGAAGTATACTGTTTTATTTTTAGTTTAAAATTAGTATACTTAATGGATAATTACATATACTACTTTTTGCTAAGAGTTCTTGCATTCCTTCATTCAGTTGACGAGGATGTGGGTACTGTGCTGATCCCGGTGGTGAGGAGAGTCGGTTCATATGGACTGGTCTCAGCTAACTTCAGCTCAAGAGGCTTGAGTGCAACTCCTGATGTCGACTACATCCTGCGCAGTGACTCTGTGATGTTTGTCAGTGGTCAGAATGTCAGCTACATCAACGTCACTGTTATCGATGACCTGGAAAGGTGAGAGGCTAATAATTAGCATCAGCGACGCCAGTTTTGATCAATGCAATCAGATTGCTATCATCGTAAATATCTTAACATGTGTTGAAATGGTTCCCCTCTAGTGAATCTGCAGAAACATTTGAGGTCCTGCTGGTTGGAGCTACAGGAGGAGCAGTTCTAGGACCACAGCGTTTCGCGAGGATAACCATCAGCAAGAGCGACTCTCCGAGCGGTGTGGTCCGCTTCCAAAATAAAAGTCTGACCACCGTGGCGAACCCCGACTCCATGTTGAAGCTAACTTTTGTTGTGGAGAGGGCAGGAGGACTTTTGGGCAATGCAACGGTGCGTGGACCGATGCTGGAAACGAAAATTACATCAGTTTATCCTGACAACATCTGGCTGAATCTCTCTATTTTTTTAAACAGGTTTCTTGGATCATCCGAGGACCTAACAGCAGAGAGGTCCTTCCCCCGGTGAACACTGACATTAAAGAGCCTGTGAACGGGTCCTTCTTTTTTAAAGATGGTGAAAAAAGTACAGCGACTATAGAGCTGCGGGTTCTGCCTCACGGTGAAGTGGAAGTGGAGGAGATGTTTGTTATAGAGCTCGGCATCCTCTCTGGAGAGATGGATGTTGATCCTCATGCCGGCTCCGTAACACTTAAGGTATTTTACTGAAGAATACCATTATGGCACACCCCGCTAAGGTCTTCTCTCCTCACGTGTGTTTGTTTTTCAGATAGAGAAGTATGGTGACCCAAATGGTATAGTCCAGTTCACGTTTAATGCTCTTCAAGAACATGTTGTCAATGAATCCACAGAAGCAGAGGGTCCACGTAACATTTCCTTGCTGATTACACGCAGAGAGGGCGTCATGGGAAACATCACTGTACGAATGTGTCAAAAATGCACATTTATTTTCTGTTCATCTAAAAAAGCATCAGTTTTTAACACAATCCTGTCTTTTTTTACAGGTCCACTGGCAGATACAAAGCGACTCGGATATAACAGGTGACTTTCGAGCATTTTCTGGCTCAGTAATGATCGTGGAAGGCCAGAGAGAAGCAGCGATCATCCTTAGCCTGATGCCTGACACAGTGCCGGAGCTGGAGGAGCTCTATGTTGTCCAGCTCACCACCGTGGAGGGTGGCGCTACTCTAGATAGCAACCCAAACCTTACCAGAACTCATATAAGGTTTGTCACTGTTTGATTTATCTATTTAACACATAAGAAGTAAAACAAATAATGCAACAACAATTCAAAACGACATATTTCACATGCAAGGGAAGGGTAAAAGCCTAAATAGGCTTATGTAAAATCCACTCCCAATCAAAACAAACTACAACACAGCAGTAAAAAACCATAAAATAGAAAAAAACACACAAAAAATAATGAAAATGGAACAAAATCAATACAAAAATAGACATCAAAATAAAATATAAAATCCATCGAAACACATGCAAAAATAAGAAGAATCCAAAATCACTTGAATTATACATTACAAAATCCACAGCTTGGTTTTTAATCTATTTTTATACACAAAAAGAGATACTGAAGGTTCCACAAGTTCAACATTAGAATTCCACATTTTAGCTCCTTAAAATGTAATTGAAAATTGGTCACGCAATGATTTGTATAATGAAAGATGCAAATGAAAAGATTGCCTAGTAGGATAGTTATGAATTTGTGAGTTCATATGAAACATAATGAACTGTAGTTATACTTTTAAAAAATAAGTGAAAAGTAAAAAGGTTTTATAATTTGAAATGATTCCTCCCAACTTTTTATTTCTTTTAGGGTGCCTGCTAACGACGAGCCCCACGGTGTGTTTTCCTTGAACCCCGTGCAGCAGTCCATAGTGGTGGTGGGTTCAGGGTCTGAGGTCAGCAGAGCGCTGATTGTGAACGTGTCTCGGCTTGCTGGGCTCTTTGGGAACGTCAGCGTGGGTTATAGGATCGGTGGGACAGACAAGCTGATGGACATCCAGACGATGCTGGGAGGACGAGCAGAAGGAAGGCTGTTTTTGACAGAGGGGCAAATGTTCAGTGCAGTCACAATCCCCATCAGTAGTCAGGTGAAGAAGTGGCTTTATAACAGAGAAACTCGCATAGCATCCATTGGATGAACCGATCTGCTTTAAAGGACTCCGGTTTTTCCACACTTTTTGTCTTGCAGGCGTTTTTATCAGCGGGTGTGAGCTTCACCGCAGAGCTCACTGATGTCCAACTAGTCAGCGCCGTCCAAGGCTCTCTGCCTCGCCTCCATCCTGAAGCCAATGTTTCCACGGTGACTGTACCTGAAGAAGCTGCCAGCTCAGAGGTGAGCTGTGCGGTTTTATCCTTGAAAACTATTTGTTTTTTACTGCCGTGGCCGAAAGGCCTTCAGAAGCAGGACATGTTCAGAACTAGAAAAATCAAAGGATGAAGGCATAACTGTGTTTCTTCAAAATTTTATTGTTTTTGTTGAATTTGTCTGATTTCATTTCTACCTTTATTCACAAACAAACTGAACTGAAGGAAATTTTGTAACCGATTAATTGAATGTTAGATGAAGTATTGTATTTTATACTTTCTGATCATTGCAGCCTTTAAGGTTAAAGCAGACAAAATGTTGGTGTGCTTATGTGTTCTTTCCTTAGCCTAAACAAAATGATTTATGTTCTCTGTCTGACATAAAAGGTAACGCCTCCAGGGGTGTAACCAGGAAGAGATGTACATTATAAGATCACTTCGTTATTACAATAATGAGAAGTCATTAGTGTGTTGCAGAGTCTCTGCTCAGAGCGGGGCTCCTGTGTTTTGTTTTGGTTGAGCTCAAGGTCTTACACTGAGGCCTGCTGAGTGCTGTATGAACCTGAGTGGAGTCAGAAGATTGAGAATAAAGTTTTGACAAGAAACCCAGTTAGATTCCTGATTATTCCGACATACCATTTTGAACAACACAGTTTTTTTTTTACAGAATCGTGATTATAACTTGTTAACTTAAGGTCAACTAAACTGCGCTAAAAAAGATGCATGCTGACAAAGATCTAGCTTTTGGAGGTACAGCATATTCAACAGTGGACAATCGTATCAAATCGTAATTAAACATTCTTTTTGTCACACAGGTTGGCTTTGCCTCAGTGGCTCTGCAGGTTCTGAATGTAGAAACTGGGATGTTCGAAGCAAAGGTGACCCGAAAAGGCCTGTTTGGGGAGATAAAGGTTCAGTGGAAAGCTGGTTTTCCTTCTGGACAGGATCCCCCTGGTTTCAGAACGGGACCTATTGTCCCAAACTCAGGTAAGAGCCAGAGAGGGAATGAACTCAGCAAACCTGAGTGTCAAGAATATATACTTAAACATTAGTTTTGTTTTGTTTTTTATTATGCTAAAGTCACTTACTTTAGGGTTCCTAACTGTCAGTGACATGTTTTTATATCTAGGCTCACTGATCCTTGCTCATGGTGAAAGGAATAAAACCATATCGTGCACTGCAATAGCCGATGGATTAGAAGCAGCTTCCTATGCTGTACATCTCACTAATGCCACCTCGAGCTCTTCTGCGAGTGGAGCCGTCAGGTTAAGGTTGGTTCTCAGCAGTGGGGTTAAGTAAATATTTATCAGAGTTGCTAATTAACCAGTATTCTTGCTTCTGTGTGGTTTTTCTGAACAGACCCGGCTTTACGGTGGCAGAAGTGGAGCCACTTGGTATTTACCAGTTCGCTCCTGATTCTCGACAGCTTGTTATTGCTGAGGAGGTCCAGATGTTAACACTGTACGTCCAGAGACTTTACGGTTTTCGTAGCAACACGACTCACCTGTCGTATACGACGTTAGACGGCAGCGCAGCAGCAGGGAAGGACTTTGTTGCAGTGCTAAATGGACGTTTGGTCTTTGACTCGCCTCATCAAACAAACGCATCTTTCAGCCTTTTGATCCTTGATGATTCCCTCTCAGAGCCCAACGAGTACTTTCACGTCAATTTAACCAACGTTCAGGTCCTGAGTCCAGGTTTTACCTGGGCTAATACACCGCCACGACTCAACCCTAAACACAGCGTGGCCACTGTCACCATCCTGGCAAGTGACGCAACTGGTGGGGTTTTGAGTATTGGACCTGTTCAAGTCCAAGTCCAGGAGGACAAAAATGATACAAACCAGCAAAGGGTTGTTCTGAGGGTGCGCAGGTCTAACAGTGTTGCAGAGGCTGTGACAGTTCGAGTCCAAGCATATGGAGGTCTGTTTTTTATCAAAATCTATTCTTCATTATTAAATGTAAGTTTTGCTCATGTTTGTGCGTTTGTGTCATTTTTCTCAGATGGAAGTACAAAACCTCCCCCTTTTACTCTGGAATCCGCCGGGACTCTGGCAAAGGAGCAGCAGGACTTCTACTTGGAGTCCTCTGTGGTGTCTCTGCAGCCTGGTGAGGAAGAGACAGAAGTGATTCTCATCATCGTGGACGACTCAGAGCCTGAGGGACAGGAAGTGTTCTTCATCTACCTCAGTGATCCAGAAGGAGGCGCTCAGATCACAGACAGCCCCCAACAGGGTTTCGGATCTTATGTCAAGATCATCATCCTTGGTATATATGGAAAGCTTTTAGCCTTAAACAATTAAGAACATTATTTTAGAAAAGTATAGATTGTATATGTTTAGTCATTTAGAACCACATTTCTTGACATTTTGTTTGAAATTCATAAAACTGTTTTTGAAAATTGAAACCTAGTTTTTAGAAAGTTTTGGAAATCTGAAACAACAAAATGAAGATTTTAATAACCCTTTGCAAAAAGTAGTAGTTCATTTTAATAAGTATACTTGAGTATAAGTTTAAGTATATCAATTATACTTGGCACCATGTACTTGTAGTGTACTAGAAAGTATACTGATTTTATACTTGTTCGTACTAAATTGGGATTTTTTTTATAAAAGTATACTTTAAGTTATAATGTTATAATGTAATAATATGTTATAATGCCTTTTTAAGTTTATAAACTTACCAAAAAGAAGTAAATTTTAAGTACATGTCATTAAGTATACTAAAGTTTATAAAAGTGTATTTTCCTAAGTGTACTTTTATTTACCATATAAACTGATATAAGTATACTAGCATCTTACTAACAAGTATACTTCTAGGATTAAATTGGCCCACAGTAATTTTATGAAGGTATACTCAGAAGTACACTGAATGTAAT